GTGTGTGTGTGTGTGTGTGTGTGTGTGTGTGTGTGTGTGTGTGTAGAGGGGATGTAGATTGGACAGTTTTTTTTTTTCTCATTCAGAGATGTAAACTCCTCAGTGGTGGTCCTGTTGCTGCAGAAACACTGAACTCTGAACACGCTTCTCTCCAAAGCTGCTCTCAGKTCAAACAAACGTCAATTTATTGTTGGTGTTTTTAATAAAGTTGGAACGGAGAGGCAGGAAAAGGTTATGACGACCTTGAGGTTGTTGAAAGGACTGGAGGCAAAGCCTGCATGGGGTGGGGGGGCTGTGGGGGGTGGCCCGGCCCGGCCCYGCCCGGTGCTTTTCATGCTGTTGGTTGAAGGTAATTGAATTCCTTATTGACTTTCCTCAATTCTATTTCAAGTTTATTAAGCCGGGCAGAATTGCCTAATGCAGACCATTAAAGAGAAATTATATTTTAAAAACAATTCTGTCTCTGCTGGATTGCGTTTCATTCTAACTACGGCATTGATTAAAATCTGTCGCCTCTCATTTAACTCGCCTCACCTGAACGTTCCCCAGAACAAAATAATTAATGGGACCCAGATGTGTTTTACACTCAATCAGCTGCAAACATGAAACAATTAAAATTTACTTGATTTATTTTAAAATTATTATTATTTCTCTGTCATTGCAAGTCTATATTTATTATTTGTTTGTGCAGACAGCTTCACTGTTAAACACTCAGAGCAACAAAGGAAACAACAGATGATAGCGAGTGTTTGACTTCTTGTCAAACAGACGAGTGGAGCGCTGACGAGGCATGCCCCTGATCTCTTTAAGCTCTTTTTTTTTATCTAATCTGTCAAATTAAAGAGCTTCTCATCTGGTAATTTACAGCWGTGGTTCCCAACCTTTTTAGACTTGTGTACCCCCTGAACCGTTTTGTCATACCACCGGTACCCCCTCAGTCAAACTAATGATGATTCTCCAAAACTATAACGTACAACAACTGATTATTAAGTGAAAATTTTTATTTAATCCCTTAGAACGTTTAATTCTCAGGCATTTTATTCTTTCAAATTCAAATAAAGATAAAGGTAAATATGTTGCCTTGAAAGTGAATCGGTAATTAAATAAATAAACCAGGTAACGGCAGGTACAGGAAGCAGCAGCGTCCAAAATACATTGTATTGTCCAAAGTACCTCAGTACTCGCCCAAAGTAGCAAATTCTGTGAGATAACGCGTTTTATACAGGATTCTATTTTGTTCAGTCAATTTRGCGATTCTGTTTGCATTTTCCGCATTGCGAAAATTACTAAGGTTTGAGTCAGTCCTGMTGGGACTGACTCAAACCTTAGTAATTTTGGTAAGAAATGAAGACTGACAGTCGATGTAGCGTTTAGCTTTAGCAGTTCCAAGATTCTTGTGGATTAGTGGTAGTGAAGCTGTCTTTTCGGTTAGCTTTGCCCACCACTGATCCTGTTTTTATTTTGCTGACCCAAAGTCCCGTCTCATCTGATGGAATGTCTTGTTACACTCCTGGTCAGGACTGTTCAAGACGTTTAGCATACAGTTAGCATAGCGTTGATACATGTAGGAGGAGGTTTTGTTGAACTAAAAACCCACCAAACGTCTAAACGAGGCTTTTTGTCCAACTTGGTTCAGATCCTCAGAGCACGACAAAGTGACCTTGGACCTTCAGATGGAGGTATGCAGAGACCTCCATTCCGTGGTGTTTAGGAAGTGAGGTGACGTACATTGAAATGGCTATCCAGTGGTAGAACTTGTCACATCTTATAACACTATAGTTACTAGGGGTCTAAGAAAATATCGATATACTGAAATATCGCGATATTTCA